TCGCTATAATTTGAAAATACACAACCGGAGAAAATCTGCCACTTCTTTATAGAGCCCCTCCTCCAACACACACAAACGCGCACATGATATCTCGATATCGTCCTCAACACCCAAGCTGAGCTTGTGAGCGCTTTCCACCTCTTGCTCATGAGAGTGAGAGAAGTAGCCTCTGCCCTGCTGTCGGCTCTCTGTGCCTTTATTAGTTGTGTTATGGGGCCCTCTAGTGTCTGAACATGATCGTACCCCTGACTGACAACCTCGGCCGACACGGCGCATGCGCGAGGTGATAGTGCATTGACAGACTCGGTTACCGTCCGCTTGCTGAGGGAGGCGACAGCTCCCCTCAGAAGCGGCACAGTCACCTGACTGCTTATTATTTTTCTTGTCATTATTTCTGACTGCGCCCTTGGCTTCAAACCTGGAAACGACAGTGAAATATGCTTCATTAAAGAACGTGGACATGTGCTTGTGTGACTTAAACGGGCAGCAGAATCTGCTGTCTCCAACATAAAGTCCACCTTCCTCATGGCGCGAACCGGATGTCGTTTGGACATCACACGAGGCGACGGGGAGTCGGGGGCATGGGTGGCCTCCGGAAGCACAGTCCAGCGCAGAACAGGTGGAGCTGGAGAATGGGGAACTTCCAGCCAGTGTGCGAAATACCCGTCAATAATCGGGGGGGGTCCCCATCTCCCACAGTTAGCGCCAGTGTTATGCCGTGTTATGCATGCCCACTGCACCTCGCGGTAGCGTGCACAGCGTAAAGCAAAAACTCCCAGACATTTCAATGATTTGTACGGCAAAGTTAGGTTTGGAAACGATATCATTTCCTTTTTGGAGGGCATGCATAACACCGGAGCCCCGCTATGGGGAAACTTTGGCGCTGTTCCGAGCTTGTTCTAATCTGTCAAAATGACAGACTGCTTTCAGATTTTTCCGTCATTGTTAAAAAAAATCTGTCATAGACGGAAAATATTCGGTTAACGCGACCTCTGGTGCCATCAAATAATTCTATATTCTGATGTTCATAAGAATGAATGAATACGCGACCGTTAAGGAGCCGTTTGTTTTCGATTCTATGCGAGGAAATGCTTTTGCCAGCCAAAATAGAAGATATAATTGAAAAAAAACATCCACCAAAAACATTTATTTTCGAAAAAAGAATTTTCAATAACTTTTGGAAATAAATAAATACATGTTCAAATAAGTATAGAAACCAAGTCGAATTTGTCAAATTTATTGAACTGGTGATCACAGTTTGACAGCTATAGGCCTACAGCTTTCATGTGCGGAGGCGATTCACAATCAGGCCAGCTGTAGAGAAGACCCTCTCAGCTGGAACGGAGGTTGCGGGTATAGCAAGGTATAGTATATATATATAAGTTTAATTTGGCATAGTTTGCACTCTGCACCGCACTCACTAACCTGGTCGAAATATTTCCACACATTACTCCTTTTTGACACCATGTCTGTTGTGTAGGACTCTTCTTAGAGTGTAAATAATTACCGGACTATGACTGGTAAAATATGTTGAATACCGGCAAAACTAAATCTCTCCTGTCAAAATGTCTATGTACTTTGCCGCCACACACGGTTGCCAAGCAGTGCTTATTGTTGTTTAGGCTGGCCACTCATGTGTTGCGAGTGTTGACAGGGGGCGGGGGAGCACGCTCATGAACTGTTAGCGCCGGAACCTCGCAACGGCTGCGGAGCGCAATTGCGCCGCATTTGGGCATAAGATGAGGTTTGAGTCTGCGTGATTTGCGTGTAGGCAGGGGCAGCAGCCATATCATTAGCTAGAACTAGCTAGATCTGATGGATTTGGACATAAATGCGAGTGAAGTACCGGACGCGAGAGAGAGAGATCAGCACCTGCAGCTCCTGCCCGCTGTGAGGGACCGGTGAGCGGAGCAAAACACACCTTTAGACGTCACCTAACACATTTAGCTATGGCACTGTCGTATACATTGAATTATTCAATTTGATAATATGTAATCAACTTAGGCATCCCTCCCAAAAAAAGAAAAGAAAAAATTAATACAAATATTCATAACTCATATTCGAATACCTGAATAATTATTCGAATACCTGAATCATTTCGAATATTCAAATATTCGATTAATCGTTCCCATCCCTACCCCGGACCCCCCCGTATTTCGCACACTGCTTCCAGCTCTTCCACCGAGGAGAGGAGGGAAGGCTGTCAGGCCGCTCTCTTCTTCTTCCTCGCTTGATGACCGAAAGTCTGGGCCGGCCGTGCCGGTGCACCTGCTGTCGGGGCCAGTTCGTCCTCGCCTCATGCCTGGGCGGGTTTTGAACTGGGGCGGGATGTGGCTTTGGCCGTTTCGGGATCTTAAATTGGGAGGGTCGCGAGGCAGCCTGAGCGAAGGTCTGTCGCGGGGCCGTCGGAGGCGGCGGCTGGACCTTCTAGGGAAGACAGAGCTGAGAGTCAGACAGAGAGTCTTCTCTGTTTTTGGCCTCACACCGCTGCTGCATCGAAGCCAGAGCGGTGCCGAATATGCCTTCGGGGACAATTGGCATGTCCAAAATGTCCTCTTTCTCCCTGTCTGGTAGGTTCGTCAGGTTAAGCCACCTGGCTCTCTCCTGCACTACCATGATCCCAAGTGATTTACCCGTGGCTTGGACCGCACAGCGCTGCACGCGGAGGCAAATGTCCGTGATCGCAGTAATCTCGTCCCACACAGCAGGCTCAGGTTTATTCGCCATGTCCTCGCACAGCTCTGCAGTCAGCATTGACGAGACGTTGAGCGCCCTGACAGACAAAGCCGCCGCTTTGTAAGCCCGTTCGGTCATTGCTGACTGAAAACGATCTGCTTTTGCCGGCAGTGTGGGGCTCCTATTGGACGCCGAAGACAGCCGCGGTTGGAGGTGGGCTGCAACTAGCGGCTCCATGGAAGGCATGCGAAACAAGCCGAGTTTCTCCATGCCCTCGAAATCCAGAGAGGAAGCTCCTTGGATCGGGGACTTACTGCTGAACGGGTGGTCCCTCCACGAGACAGACACCTCGTCCAACAGCTCCGAAAAAACTGGGAGAAGCTGTCTTGCCATCCTCGCAGCCTGGGGCAAATTCTTCCCTTCGTAGCGAGGTCTGCTGGTCTCCTTCACTACTTCAGGCCAGGGGATGTCCAGCCTGGATGCAGCGCGTTGGCACACGGCTTGCAAATCCATGCTGAGACGGGGCAAAGCTGGTATGCTTTCGCCCGGAGGGGCAGACACAGCATCAGGCTTTGCAGCCTGAGCGGATGAAACTAATATATCATCCTCATCCTCGTCTGAGTCAGATATGAGAAACTCCGAGGTACCCTCGTCGTCATCCTCCATATAGTCCAACTCCAAGACGTCCTCCACGGGCGGAGCCACGGTGAGGTCCAGCTGGGAGCCCCAGCTAGCCTCAGCGCAAGTCTCAGCCTCAGCGCACGGCTCAGCCTCCATGGCGGCTTCCCCCATGTCTCGGTTGCCGGCCGGCATATCGCTAAACATGAAAGGGTCTCGTCCCTATAGGCTAGCTAGGCATTCTAGCCGTCGGCGGAGGCTCTTGACGGTGAAGCGGGCACAGTGTCCGCACAAACCGGGGGCGTCGATAGCTTTCCGGGCATGTTCCAGCCCAAGGCAGGACGAGCAGACCTGGTGTGAGTCCGTGCTCGATATTTTATACCCGCAGCCGCAAAGTCGTGCTGCATCCTGAGAATGTCATGTAAACGGATGTGTGATAACAGATGTCTTTGGAAGGGGGTTTTATGACACTACAGGAAGAGAGGATGAGTGGAAGGAAGTTACGATTGTTCCTTGGGTGTGAGTTTTAGCATACAGTGCTGTGCCATGAGGCAAACACCTGGCCTCACATGATGTTGTGAGGTCATGTGGGTTATCTTTGAATGTTTCCCTATAAGGCTGGTGCCCCACGAGGACGAAAACGGGTTGTATCCGCATATTTCTCTTGCGTATAGCCCTTTTTGCCACACGAGGCCGTAACTAAACGATAGAAACGGACCCCGCAAACGATAACGGGATAACTGGGAACGGAGCGCTCTGGGGGGTCATACGGCTCCGTGTGATCGCCTCTATACGATCATTTTGTGATGATGATGACGCAATAGCCCTGCCTCCCCCCACCTCTGCTGCTCACCCCCGCAAAAGTAAACTGCACACTGAATTCAGATTATTTATCTTTATCTCGATATGGACATAAACGCGAGTGAAGTCTAATCTGACAGGACGGAGACGTGCAGCTCCTCCCTCTGTGATGCAGCGGGAGCAAAATACACACTTCAAGTCAGATCATCACCCTTAGCTATTTTAATTAGCCTACCTCTCAAACTACCTAAACTAGTTATAAATATGTTTATTTTTTACTGTCGGCCGGGTCACTCATTACTGGATCAGCTGCTGCATGAGACAGACACTGACGCTGTCAGAAGAGAGGAAAAAGAGAGGACAGGCTCCGTGTATTTTATTATTATATATAGTCGTTATTAATTTGTTTTAAAGCTTAAAGGGGACCTATCATGCAAAATGCACTTTTGTACGTCTTTTATACATGAATATGTGTCCCCGGTGTTCCAGGGAACTCACCAAGTGTCAGAAAACACAACCCTCTCTATTTTCCTGCATACCCAAATCTCTAAAAAAGGGGCTGCAACGGATCTGATCAAAACTGATCCAGATTTGAACACTGTCCTGACGTCAGGACAGTGGCGCTACGGCTATTGGGCCAACTCCACCAATCAGGAGGAGACAGCCACGGCCATTGCCGTTCGAAAGCGCTGGAGACGCTGTAGTACATATGCCAGGCCTGTAGATGGTGCTGTTCTCACAGAATCTGCCCTTGCAAAACAGAGCTAAAAAATGTCAAATTGAGCAAAATGAGGCATGGCTAAAATGCATGATCTGTTTGGTATTTTGAAAAAAAAAAAGTATAAATATGCCTTATATAGGTATGGTCCTATACTAATTATTCAAATATAGCATGATAGGTCCACTTAATAAATAACAAAGAAATCTTCATTTGGGATGAAGCTTTTAATTTCTCTTAGAAGCTGACCAACAGGCTCCTGAAACAAAAAATATTATATTGAATAATTATTTAGTGATTCGTTTTTATCTATGTCACCTCTAATTACACTTCACAGTTTAAATGTTCAGCTCACCTGTTCGTGTATCATTTCAAAGATGGTCCTCCTCAGTTTGAGGTCCTTATTTTCAGGTAACAGCTGATGCAGTTCTGCTCCAGTCAGTGACCGGATGTCAGAGTTGCTGCGTAAACCTGCCTCTGAAACAACACGGTTTGTTTTATCTATGCTTTTAAAACTGAAATATAGTACTATAACTATGCTAATGGTTTATTTTCAATTTTCACTTCTTCAAAATGGCCACTTACCTTGCAGAACTTTAGCAACATCCCGGTGTTCCCCCTTTATTTTCTTCAGTAAATCTGACATGACTTCACCTGTAGGGAAACAAATCGGACATCAACATTATGGATGTAAATACGGAGGTCATATATTTTTTCTTGTGATTAGCATAAAGGAAAAGGAAATAGCATAATTAAATTACTGACAACAAAATAAACCATATATAAATTTGATTAACTGAGCACATATGTTTGCTAAGGTGGACAGATGTTTACCCTTTACCCAGTAGGACAAAGTCTGGGATGACATACTCTAAACTCAAAGTTCAGTGACAAGCATTTCCAGGGCTTTTCACCGTACCAAAATAGCAAGTATGTGCCAAATGTGAAAGTGAAAGGGATGTTAAAAGGTTGTACATACCCTTGGAAGGGATGCCGTTATTCACCCCTGTGGGGGGGAGCTGTTTAACGGGCTTCTGAAACAAAAATGTTATATTACAGAAATATTGAATGACTTAATTAAGACCTAGTTTCTATGTAGCCTCTATTAAATCTCACATTTTAGTTTGAAAGCTCACCTGATTTTGTATAATTTCAAAGATCCTCCTTCTCAGTTTAAGTTCTTTGTTCCAGGAAACAGCTCGAGCAGTTTTTTCTCGAGTCAGTGACCGGATGTCTGAGTCGCTGCATAAATCTGCCTCTGAAACAACAGAGTTGGATTTACCTGTGATTAAAACTGAAACCTAATCCTGTTGTTATGTTTATTGTTTATTTGCAATAGTCACCCTCGCCCAACATAAAAATGGTCTCTTACTTTGCAGAACATCAGCAGCATCCCTTTCTCGATTCCCTATTTTCTCCAGTAAATCTGACGAGTGTCCAGTGGAAAAGACAGGCAGATTTAACACATGGATTTAAATGTATATTCCACACTGATGTCTTGTTTTTTCCGCAAACTATTTGGAAACAACAAAAGTTTGAACAGTTGTGTAGATTTAGCACAACAAAAGCTTAGAATTGATTTAATGGAGCTGTTGCCCAAAAGGTCCCAAACACTTATTTTCCATTTTATAATCATAATATGGTATCATTTTGAAGCTTAAAATATTTGTTAAACCTATGCTAAAAAAAGCTTTAATTTGAGTTAAAATAGAAACCTACAGTGAATATAACAAATAGCGTGTATGCAGTGGTGCAATGTAACTAAGTTCATTTACTTAAGTACATTTTGACATACTGTACTTTTAGTCTACGTGAGTACTTAGGTTTGCAGTCACCTCTGCATGAATGTGATACCAGATATCAGTTAGATATTAGCCATACTCAACCAAATAAAACACATGAATGGGACTGCTGTAGTAAATGAACAAACTCTCTTATGTCTTGTTGTGAGCTAAATAAGGTGGTGGTATCCGGTCAAAAGCTCCAGACAAAATGTAGTAAGTGAAAATGTAATTTTTAATATGAAATTACAGATGCGTTTGACAGTCAAAATCTAACGTCTAGTACTATTTAATGCATATGTTTGGTTTGTAAGGATGTTCATTTATTTTAAAAGGTGGTTTGCTCTCTATTGCCAAAGAGCCACAAATAAACATCATTAGATTTGAAGTGGAAGAGTGTGAGATTCACCATGTGCTTCTTGAGGGGGGACGTCACAGAGGGGCTCCTTTAGAATGGTTGCTGATTCCGGGTCCGGCTGATTTTGGATGTTTTCTTCGAGAAAACGAATGTGAGCTTCTTGGAAACTCTGGATATGCTTCACATGGGTCTGCATGTCCTTCATGATACAGAGGTAATCAACCAACACCCTGTTGCCTGTTAGAGCAGCTGAGAGAGAAATCAGGTTGTTGGATGGCAATATTAACAATTACTTATATTTCCTATCATTGTAAACAAAACAAAATGGCAAGTGTGTGCCAATGTGAAAGTGTAAGTATTGTTAAAGGCTGTACATACCCTTGAAATCTTCATTTGGGATGAAGTTTTTCATTTCTCTTAGAAGCTGACCAACAGGCTTCTGAAACAAAAAATATTATATTGAATAATTATTTAGTGATTCGTTCTTATCTATGTCATCTCTAATTACATTTCACAGTTTAAATGTTCAGCTCACCTGTTTGTGTATCATTTCAAAGATGGTCCTCCTCAGTTTGAGGTCCTCTTTTCCAGGTAACAGCTGATGCAGTTCTGCTCCAGTCAGTGACCGGATGTCAGAGTCGCTGCGTAAACCTGCGTCTGAAACAACACGGTTTGATTTATTTGTGCTTTTAAAACTGAAAAATAGTACTATAACTATGCTAATGGTTTATTGTCAATAGTCACCCTCTATACAATGGTCACTTACCTTGCAGAACTTTAGCAACATCCTGGTGTTGCTCCTTTATTTTCTCCAGTAAATCTGACATGACTTCACCTGTAGGGAAACAAAACAGACAGGCAGATTCAACACATGGATTCCAATGTAAATACTGAAGTCATATCTTATTTTTCTTGTGAAATATTTGGATACAAACCTACCTGAAGTGTTGACAAGCTCAACTCGAAAGACGAAGATTGTGAGAGGAAAACGAAAGTAATCTCTGATGTGATCGAAGCACACGATATGTGCTTGATTTCAATTATTTGGTAAATTATTAAAAGATGTAGATAACGTTATCCGTCAATCAATCAACTAAAACAATAGAATATTCTAGAAAGTATTTCCAATCTACCTTCGTATTTCGCATACAATACCCTCCGTCAGCGCTGAGCCGAAAGTGAAATTTAAAGATAAACGATGTTTACTTACAAGGAGGCTCAAACTGTGATTGGTCGCTGGAGCAGCGTGATTGACACATCTGAAGTCCCGCCCTCTGAAACCCATTGTTGACATTTATTACGCATTACTCTCTATGGCAGAGTTGTCCAAACTATGGGGCCAATGGGCCAACTGCGGCCCATTGTCCATTTTGAAATGGTCATCAGCAAATTCTAAAAGTATAATGAAATATGGCCCCAACTTGTGCTTGACTTATGTTGAACTTTAAGAAATGAGTTGCCAACCTTTTTTATAACAACATAAATGAAACCCTATGGAAATCTGTGAATGCTGTTTGTTTTCTTAAAGCATATTCATGTATCAAGCATAATTGACCTACATTTATAACTTAACTTATTAGGCAATATACCTCACCTGAGGGGCCCAGCCGTTCCTACGTTTTTCTGTATGCGGCCCTCAGTGTATTATAATGTTCTGGCATCTATATCTACAGAGAGAGGAGATAATTTTGTTTGCTATGTGGTGGCTAGGGTTGGAAGGATAACTTTAAAAATGTAATGCGTTACAATTACTAGTTAACTGTAAAAAAAAAAAAAAGTCATAGTCAAGTCTTTAATATATAAAGAAATCTGAGTATCACAGTATAAAAGTAATGTAACCTGATTACTTTGTTACTTTTGGATAACTTCAATTTCAAATGTAATACAAATAAATACAAGATAAAAGAAATATCGGTAAGATGTGTTTTAATTTATCATATTGTGTGACCTTAAAAAATAAGAAACCAATAAATGTAGTATCAAAAAGGTGTCCTCTTATACTTTAGGCTATGGGCTTATGAATAGCATAGTTTACAAATACTGTTTTGCTGGGGGGGCAACAGGGGCCAGTGCATGCAGGAAAAAAAATAACACTTGTCATCTCTGACCAGCGGCTGTTCCCTTTTTAATTCAAGTAACATTCAAGCCTAGACGTTGAGAGACTAAAAATCCCAAAACCGCAGGATATTGTTGCTGTAATCTGAAAGAAGAGAAACCCTCAGCCTGGGATGCAGAGACCCGGATGTACAGTAGAGATTCAACTGTTCAGTGCCTTATATTCAGTGTTGCAGCAAATACTGTTTATGTCATTTAATTTAATTGTAACTTAGTAACTTAAACAAGTACTGTAAATATAAAAAAGTACTACTGAAACAAAGAACTGTAACTTAAAGTTACTGTAATAAATACCTGTACAGAACAAATACCAATTTCATATTTATTTTACGCAATTATTACTTTAAACTGTCTTTGTCTTTTTTAACCCGCGTTTATTGTGCCCCTCTCAAAAGAATAACTACCACCCCTCCCCCTGTAAAATTGGTCTAGAACCGCCACCGCTAATAATAACATAATAGTTTTGAGTCTGTGGTGATTTGTGTTCACATTGTTTGCTGAGCTGTCGATATCTCGTTCAACTCAACGTTTTACAGTAGCCTAATCTGTTCACCTGCAGGTTGGTACAGCTAAACTCAGAGGTAGAGACACAAACAACATGTTAAGGTAAGTTTAGCTTTATATTATCCTCTTCAGAGGAAGACTGCACAGGCATAGTTCACCATCTTTAACATGTTTGTTTGAGGCTAAAACAATGGTGTGGTAATGGAAAGGTTTTTGTTTGAGACAAGCGAAATTGTAAAAGTGTGAGGAAATAAAAGCAGTTGATGGTCTCTGTATCTAAAACTTAAAATAGATCAGATTCTTTGAAAGGTAAATATTAAAACCACAATTGAATAAGCTTTTTTTTTTTAAGACAATAAAGCTGTTATCACTTTGCGTTGATGTAGCTCAATAAACCCCAAATGTATTCCTCCTGGTTGACTTGTATATAGATATACTTGAATAACAAAAACGTTTTTTTATTAGTTGATGGTCTAACAACTGCAAGTTAAAGAAGCTGGGATTTCATTGGAGTCTTCCTTACACTACTCACAAAATATCAGTATGTGTTTAACTCTAAGATGATAGTATCGGATGTTCAGTTGTGAGCATGTATTAGGCTACATCAACAGAAATAAAACAATTCTCATTTCATGAACAAAAGCCTTAGAATCCAAGAATTTATTTGACATTTTTATTTCATGACTGCTCCTCTGCATGTGACTTACATTATTGGATGCTCAGTTTTGATGGCTGCATTTGACCACCAACCACGTGAATATCCATATAAAATATATCAAAGCTTAAATAAGCTTCGATAGTTTAAATAAAACTTACCTCTAAAACTGATTGCGATTCAATTTCCCTGCCACAACAATGAGGTTACATTTAAGATACAAAGAATGTAAATTAATCCAAAAACCGTATCATAACGTTTGTTAGATTCCTATAGGTTTTTTTTAATTATCAGAGTGTATTATTCATTTGAGTCAACACTATTCTTGAACTATTTATGTCAAAAAGATACATGTTCCAGCTTCATGATGGTATGTCATATAAACTATATCTAAAAAAGGACTTCAGACAAAGTGATTGCACCTGCTGTAACGGCAGTTTATAGAAAGTATTAAGTATATCGTCATCACACATAACATAAACTCTGGGAAACAAATCTTTAGAATTAATTGCTATTGCTGCTATTAATATGCAGCAAGAATTAACATTCATGCATTAAAACCAAATATACTGTGCTGCTCATTTTATTCTAATATTTGCAGCAATAATTACATTTCTGGCGGATGTATGTATTCGAAAGGTAATCTTTTGGCAAATGACTAAGCTTTGTTGCAGTCTTTAATCACTTCCTTTACATTCATGTCATAATACAGTATATAGAGAAACCACAGTAGCAACTGGAGAAATATTACACAGAGATATAAATAATTGGACTACAAATTAGTAGCCAACCTCTCTTCAATCAGGAGAGACGGTTTTGATGTAATAATACATATTTATTGCGCAGATGCACAAATGAATGCAATGGTAATTTTGGCGATTAGGCCCCGTTGTGCAGGAAGTATCATTCGGGAAGGTAGAACCGATCCGATGAAACCCCCCTGGGGTCTAGACACTGGTGGTGGTGAATGGATAGTTGGGTCGGTCTGAAGAGGAGTGGTTTAGCTTGACCCTAGATTCAGAGGGACAGGAGGTGAAAAGGGGGTGGAGGAGGGTTGCGCCGATTCACCTGGAATGAGAGCTGTCAGAGGGGAGAGCAGATTTAAAAGGTTTGACAGAGCGCTATGATAGGCTCTTGGGAATAGAGCGAAGTGATTGGTTAAGCTGAAGAGTGACGCCCCCGGTCACTTATTGAGGAGAGAGAGTAATAACATGGGAATAAAAATACATGAATGAGTAGAGACGGTCTTCCTGGTTGAACTTGCGCTGAGCTCCATTTCTCAAAAAGGAGAATACAATTAAGTTTTCAGATTATGGTAGAAGAGTACAATCAAAACTGTCTGATAAATCACATTTTGACTGCTTGACTTGTGTTGTTAGTGATCCATTACACTTTGTTGTTTTACTTGAGGAAAACATAGTGTATCATCGTTGCTCGCACCAACACTGCCAAATCTAAAGTTAAATTGTTAAAATAATCTATAATACACGTGTTATTCATTTAGTTTACAGGAAAAAGGCCCATCTATAGGCAATCAGCTGAAGTCTTCACCAGCAGTTGGATACAGTAGCATGTGTGGTACAGTAGCTGCTAAATAAGGTCATGAACACAAATTAAATGGAAATTGGGCGAAGAAGCCCCCGCCCGTCTTGATTTTGTCAGATTTTCCAGAATGTCCAGCAGCAGTTTTTTAATTCAATTATTGGTTAAGAATAAACATCTTAAAGTAAATAACAATAAACAATAGCCCTTAACCCTGTAAGGCCCCCGGTTGTAATTTTACAACATTTACAAGCTATCCAAAAAAGTCAGTAAATGTTTTTGTTTTTTAAAAGACTACATTTACATAGTCAAAATAAAAAGGTCCTTTTGTTCAGCCTCACAATGCTATTGGGTAGTAAATGTTTAAGTAAAAAAAAGTAAATTATTATTTAAAATGGACTACGCTTAGCTAACAGACTAATTTCCACCACTCATTGACCACACCCACCTTTTCTCTTGAAAAACTGGGTGACATACTGTCGCCCTTTAGTCCCTCTCTCTTGTCTTTCTCTCCTTTCTTTTCTTTTTGAAAGCCTGACTTTGTGAGTCGTTGAGACATCGTACACACGTAAGTACTAGCATCCCTGCTCCTAACATGCTCTCCTCTCTGCTAGAAACTTTAAAGTGCTGTTTGGAGACGGAGGCGGGACCAAACCATTACATGTAAATAGAAGCGGGTGTACAGAGGCTTTGGATAATTAACTTTTGGAAGAAAATAAGTTAAATGAATTTTAAGTTTAGTGAGTACAATATCAATATAACGTTATATTAATGTTAATTATTGATGAATGATGAAAGGTTACTTAAACATTTTTTTCTTAATGTTCTAAAATTGTTTGGGCCCCCGTGGTGAGGGTGTTTGGTGTGGCCAACGGGTTGGCCAGGATGGCCACTCCCAGCCACCCCCCAGCTCCGTCACTGTAGCAGCCACAACCTGGGCATTTGTAATGGGGATCTCTTTTAAATATTTTGTTATCTCGCAAACAACAGCTCCATTTTCTCCACAGTTGAGTAATCCATGTTTCGTCTCGTGGAAGAAAACGTTGACTTGCAGCTGAACGTTAGCTCCGTGTTGCACATTTGGAATGAACTTGGCCTCATATGCGTGGTGCATCAAAACCAGAATGACAGGTTTATTGCCTGAGGACACAAAAAGAGGAGGATAAATGACATAATTAGGGAGTTAGAGATTAGAGATTAAAGCTCTAATGTAAGGTTTGGTGTGGAAAGCAATCCTAAGAAATTATAAATTATAATCAAAACATGTAGCTTATTTGTTTAACCCTTAGATGCATAATTGGGTCTTTTTTGACCCGGTGAGGTGGTTTTCTTAGAGTATCTTTGTAAATACATTTTTTATCATTTCATATTCCAGCTATTCCTCAAAAAACATGTTTTGGATATCATGCCATTCAAATTTTAAATTTATATTTTATACATTTTAAGAAATTGTAGTTTTTGTATTACGACCCCGAGCTTCCATAAGTGGGTAAAAAATGACCCGCATGCATTTTCTATGGAATTTCGTTTTTTTCAAAATGTAAAAAGAATGTCTAAAATTATAAATCGTGAAAAAATAAATATAAACTAGTGTGAACCAAAATATAATACAAAATATTATACAAGGGATTTTTCCATTCAGTATGAACAGGCTAAAACAAATGTTCCCTTACCTTTAACATCTCTCAGGGCTGACTCAACATCTGGCCCCATGCGAGAAACGATGGGGCAGAAGACAATAGTGACGTCGTAGTCGTTGCTGTTGCTTTGAACAAGATCAAACTGATCCTTTAATTCATTCTTCACTTTCTCCGTCAGCTGATCATGTGCACGAAAGGTTGTTCCGGTAACAACCATCTGGTACACCAATTTGGCTGTTGGGATGAAAATGGATGTTAATATCAAAGAGATTAATACACAAACATAACTTGAGAGAACCTACTCTAGAATAAAATGATGTGTTTTGCTATGCAGTTCCAAAACAATCGTAAAAACAAATTTGAACATCTGAGTTTCTAACTATCCAACTATGACTCACCTTTCCGTTTATTCACAACCTTGGAGGGCTCTTCTGATGAGAAAAAACAGCAACATCAATTAGTCAGGTTCATTCACAATATCATTCAACAGTTTGTGATCTCCTTCCATTAAAGCTTGATTGGACACAGTGAAATGGCTGAGAGGACTACTTTATATGACTTTACTCTAAGGTTGGAGAGAGTATGCTTTACACACAGATCTTCTTTTTTTTATGAAATGTTTGCAAAAAAGTCATGTTTTCCATGAAGAACTAACACTGTTTCTCACAACAGAAATATATGCTTAGTCTTACAGGTTAGCACTCAGTATAACATCATCAGTGAACATGAACTGAAAATGCTATGAACAAACAAATCACAGTTTATCTCTATTTCATTTGACCACAGTAGACCCAAAGAGGACCAATTTCCCCAAACATCCAGTTGTGGCTAAAAATGACTTGACTGTCACATACGCTCTTCTGAACTGATAAACAATTTAAAATCGAAGGGTCTTTGGAGGGAAATGTGGTAACAAACAGTTATCTCCCTTGTCAGGCAAACTTTGAGACCATCAGCTTTGGAGAAGATGTACTCATTTAATTGTTTTTCTTTTGCTATTTCAATATGAATAATACATTTGTGTCTGAATTATAATTTTGGGGATTTTTCAATAAAACAAATGATTCCAAACTTTCTACCAGTTATGTAGAATTAGAAAAAACTCTGCTGTTGTAAACATGAACAAACATTGACATGAGAAAATTCTTGAAGAAGAAACATTTCAAAATCAACTCCAAAAGGGACATTCATTTTGGGTTATAAGCTCAAAGTGTTCTACTTATACATTAGACCAACCATGGATAGGGTATTTCCGTGTGTCAAAGACAATGTCAAGGAAATAGCATAATTCAATTACTGGCAAAAAAATAAACCACATAGATTTGATTAACTGAGCACATATGTCTGCTAAGGTGGACAGATGTTTACCCTTTACCCAGTAGGCCAAAGTCTGGGATGACATACTCTAAACTCAAAGTTCAGTGACAAGCATTTCCAGGGCTTTTCACCGTACCAAAATAGCAAGTATGTGCCAAATGTGAAAGTGAAAGGGATGTTAAAAGGTTGTACATACCCTTGTGGGGGGGGGGCTGTTTAACGGGCTTCTGAAACAAAAATGTTATATTACAGAAATATTGAATGACTTAATTAAAGCCTAGTTTCTATGTAGCCTCTATTAAATCTCACATTTTAGTTATAACTATGCTAATGGTTTATTTTAAATAGTCACTTCTTCAAAATGGCCACTTACCTTGCAGAACTTTAGCAACATCCTGGTGTTCCCCCTTTATTTTCTCCAGTAAATCTGTCATGATTTCACCTGTAGGGAAACAAAACAGATTCAACCCCCCCCCCCATCACTCATCTGTGATAATTCGCCTACATTTCTTCTTGTATTAAACCCTTTGTAATCGTATTTCACCCAAATGCTCCTAAATAAAAATTCACCCTTATTACAAATGCATTGAAACTTGACATTTACACTTATTTTCAGTGAATAATAATAATATGACGACTCACTTCTAGCAGTTTCAACACATTTTGTTCAGTCACTAGAGCAGGGGACCCCAACCTTGTCGACAGTGAGAGCTACCTGAAGGACCCGAGGAATATGGAAGGCTACTTGTTTGACATGATCTTTATGAAGAATATACATTTGCAATTTTCCTTTAAATAATTTATATTATGAATTGAATAGGCTAAGAAAATGATCTTTACTGTTTCCAATGGGCGTCACCTTGTAGTTTTATTTTTTCAAATAGAAATAAAACTGTATTGCACCCCAATCTTTGTTTGTACACACTAGTTTCCCTATTTGTAAGCAGCCCCTGTAGACACAGGATTTAGTCAGTCTATTTATAAATTAACTCTGAATGTTGGATTTCCTTTATTGATCCTGAAAACACATTCTACACGGGGCGGAAATCCTGCGGCGATGCACATACTGTAACGGCAGTTTATATAAAGTATTAAGTATATCTTCATCACACATAACATACACTTTGGGAAACAAAACTTTAGAATCAGTTGCAGTAAAAATGTGCCCATCGTACAGGGCAAATGAAAAGTGTAACCGGGGTGAAAAGGGTGTTACATTTACTTAATTATGAATATTGTTGCATCAAGGCCGAAAATTAGGATGAGCGGCAACAGTAAAAAAGGTTTTTTTCCCCCCCAGATCTGGCGCCCTAGGCGACCGCCTATTCATCCATGTGTTGGTTGGATCCGTTCTAAAATCCTCCATGTGTCCAGGAAACTTTAAAAATAACGGTAATTGATTTTCAACTCATCACTCAGTTACTTAACGTTTTTGTTTTTTTCATATAAATGTACTAGTTTTGTAGGCTACTGGTCATGTTTGAATTTATTTACCTAAGACATAATAGTAAATAGATTTTTGTTTTATAGGTGACTTTATGAACACTTTTATGCATACTTGTGTTGAGGATGGAGTAAAAATATTGTTTATCATTATTATCCTATTTTTAGGTGTGCAAATGTCACCAGAGTCCGGCATTTAGGGCTCCAAAGTTCCAGTGAAAAATAATAACTTGAGAAATCTTATGTGCACCCCCCCTACCCCCCGTTACCAAAACATGGACCAACCAGTGATCATCATTCTTTGGGTATAAAGACAGATTTATTCTGCAACCAAAATCTGTGACAATATAAAATACAATTATTCAAAGTGATGATTAGAAAAATAGAGAGATTAAGAATAATACAAAAGATAGAATGCATTTAAAAAAAATAACCCTACCTGAGTTGGGATGTGGAGTCAACACAAGACCCTTCCTCAGGGTATGCCTAATTTCGGGCATCTGCTTTACTGGACAATCTTTCCCGGCTACTTCATTGTTCACGCGGCGGAGTATGACTTCAATTTCTTCATTGCTAAAAAAATATGAGGGGTAGAAAAACATGTTATCACATGATGGTCACATTAAGTCAAGGGTAAAATATACATGTTAACGATTTTATCATCAGATTTAGATCTACAAAATCTTTCGGATATTTCAATAACTATATAATTAATGTTGAGTTAGACATTTACCTTTCACAGCCCACTTTTAGCTGCTTACAGACAGATTGGATGAACCCGCTCCCCTTCGTTGGGCTTCTTAAAGCATTATGACCTTCAACAGTGGCATAATGAAAAAGAAAATCTGCTTCCTGAGGGATGGATGTCGAGTGAGAGTCATCAGCCAGCAGATCTTTTAATAACACCCCAGGTCCCTGGCAGGCCTGGACCAGGAACACTTTGGGCTTGTCAGTGAGGGGAGATTGAGTTGCCATGAAGGTTTTCCTTATTTGTTCGATAGGGAGGAGCTGCCCATCAATCCCCGATACGTTGCCCTTGTTTCCATGACTGAGAACACAGCAGATGAAGGCATCGCCATGCTGAGGAGCCTCTCGAAGATCGGTGAATCCGCTGCCTTTTAAACATGTATTGTATACCTGTGGTGTTTATTTTTATTATTTTATTATCTTTGCTTTGTAATGCCTGTTGTAAAATGCCATTATATAATGTGTTTTTACTGTATTTATTCATAAAAAGTATTTTAATTTGTTTTGTAAAGCACTTTGAATTGTCACGTACAGAAAAGTGCTATATAAATAAACTTGCCTTGCCTTGCCTTGCCTTGCGAGTCCATTCCTTGACATTGAGCTCCTGCAGCTGAGAAAGGTCGCACTGAGAAGCAAAGCATACCAGCGCTCGCACCATCTGGTCCTTGGTTTGGTCTTTACACATCAGCACTCTGAACCCCAGCCAGCTGAACACCTTTGCCAAGCTTTCTGCAGGGAAATAAAACCTAGTTAGGCTTCAACAGGCAAAACCGGGATGATAATATTAATCTGTCAACTCGGTAACATACCCGCATCTATATCGGTTCCATCTCTCACGTCACCATCCAAAAAATGTGCGTTGTTTATGATCACGCAGAGGCCGGTTGGCTGGCTGTTCAACTCATACTGCCCGTCCTGAAAACAACAGAAACAATTTCACACAAACACAAAATGATGAAACTTACTAGAATGGATTAGGGCTGGGCTATGTGGACAAAATCAAATATATTTACACATTAAGGTTTTTGATTAATAATAATAATAGCTATGTGGATATAATACCTAAATAGTGCTGCAGATAATTAAATATATTAATACATAGTCCAAAAGTGGATGCAAGTACTCAAAACGGGGGGTTACGTATTGTAACCCTAGTTATATAAGCACAGGCGGAGCCCTCTACTGGACTCTATGGGTACTACCTTATCCTGCGTGCATTCTCCCACTGAGACTTCTATAGACGTAGCCGGCCCAGGGCGGGCCTACCTGAATGCGCGAGCATCACACCGTATAAAAGGAGGCCTCGCCTCCTGACTATCATCCTATATCTCTCTTCAGCGAGCGGAATAGGACTGACATTGCCCTGAGTAGAGGGCTCCGCCTGTGCTTATATAACTAGGGTTACAATACGTAACCCCCCGTTATATCTCTCACAGGCTCCGCCCTCTACTGGACTCTATGGTCCGTTCTCATGTCATCAAATGTCCCTCCTCGACTCCCCTCCTCGACTCCTATCCTCGAGACTTAGTCTGTTCCCGGAAATGCATCCACGGAGGAGCCGTGGAGGACCGCGGAGGACCCATCAGTGTATCCTCGGTTATAGCTCCTCCAGAGAGCCTCCTCGACGCTCGATGCTCGGTCCTCGATGTGCATTTCGAGAAATGAGATGTCCTTCAACATGGCGCGCTAAAATTCATTTCACTACCGGAGGACCGAGGAGTCGAGGAGGGACATTTGATGACATGAGAACGGGCCCAAGGGTACAGTGGGTGGAGCCCTGATGTATACGCGCACTGTCGTCCAACAACACCATTCCACCCTACTGCCCCTGACCGGCTTTTCTGGTCAGCAGCTGCTGCCCCACATTCTCCTTTAACCTGTTAAGCCCTGAGCCTGTTTTTCAGGTCTCAGGCTCGAAAATGACATTCCCAGAACAAATATCTTCCCTTCTAAAAGGGTTAAATTAATAATCTTTTTTCTCAAAGTAATGATAAACCTGTGAGTTGGATGTAGAAAAGTCGGAATCAATATAGATGTTTTTTATTTTAAAGAAAATTCAGATTTTACATAGTAAAAAACTGTAAATTATAGTGTCCGTCCAAAAATTATTTTTTACTTATAGTGAAAACTACCCTTGGATGATGGTAAGGTAGACTAAAAGCTTTAGGAATCCAAAGTACAATATATAATAAGTACCCTGTATCAAGATTGATGCAAAACAGTGACATTTGACCTTTTTAGAGAGATTTAGCAAAAATAAACCACTTCTGGGGTCATTTGGGTGGATTTTCCATATCTCTGGCTTCCCTTGCTCGATTTTGATGGTTGACACCTCTTTCTGACCGTAAGAGCCAATAGAATCGAAGGGGGAGTCCCCCACACACACTCATTGTGAAGAGAAGAGGTGGGGGCTTCGCGCATGTAATTTAGCATCAGAGTGAACCTACAGTATCTCTAGCTTTGACATCTGGAAACGGAAAAGCAGTTTTAATGCTTATGGATTCTCAGAAATCATTTCAAAGGGACACAGACACATTGGATTAACCTATGGATTAACTTCAGCAGCGTTTTTATCGTTTTAATGTCATTGAAGACCACTTTGGAGAGACTACAGAGCCAAGGTAAAAATGTTAGCATTTTTAGCTACCTAGCGTCACCTGTTTTGATGTCCGTTTTTGCTTATAACGTCGCCATTTTGTATAATTCAGTGATAATGTGGGTGTCCATCGATTCTGTGTCACCTCACGATGTGAAACGATGTCATGGATGTGGAGAAGAGATAAATAATAAGGTTTTGTGAGTGATTTTTGGTGCAGTAAGGTGTTAGCATTTTTCGCTCGTTGCTAATTCAGAGGCTCAGCATTGTGGGTTTTCTTTTGAAAAAAAAAAAAATATTATCAGTTTAATGAGTTTCTTCCCGTTACATGGATATAAAATATTCATAGTTTTATTAAATGAACATGCCCTCAGACACTGTTTCCTGCAAGATGTTGCGGCAGTGCCCCGGTACCGGGGTCTCTCGGGCTTAACAGGTTAACCCGGTTTGTGACCGAGGGGAAACCAGAGCTAAATCAGGCTCTAGACCGGAACCACGCCGAGCGGGAAGCCAGTTGCAATATTAGATTTTATTACATGGCTTAGTTGAATACTCAATTCTGATTGGTCAATTCAGAACACGTGACACGTTGTTAATCCAGAACAGACAGACCGCTGTCAAGGATTTATTGACCGTTGTTAAGGACGCTCACATCTGCACAAAGAAGTCCATTCGATTGAACTGTATACAGTTTGGCTGCAGTTTGCTTTTCGAACTGACAAGACAAGAGCGACAAGAAAACAGCGGAGAAGTAATGGGCAGAAACCCTCCTTTTTACGCAGCGGTCCAGACATACAGTAGACATCAAACGGCAAAACATATTCAGTTGCCAGTTACTTTGGCATTAGGGCAGGGATATCTAGATACTTTCCAAGCTTTGACATAATGAATTGTGCTACTTTTAAAGCAAGCAACGATGTTTTCAAATCTGTAATCAAAAAGCTCCGCCTTCCTGCCGTTGCTACGTTTTTCAAACGGTAACAACGGACTATTTTTCTTACCGGATGCATGTCAATTTAAATCAATACATACAACAATAAAATCATTTTCTAAATCCATAAAGCATTTCAATTAATATTGGGAGTCATATCGTTACTTTGTTGAGAATGTGGCCATGTAATAAGCGGGATAATGTGCAGCGACTTGGTCATTATGGGTAAAATAACACCCTTCATGCTGATCAAGATCCCTCCGCTTCGCGTCGGGATCCTGATCTGCCTGTCGGGTGTTCTTTTACCCATAATGACCGCCTCGCTGCACATTATCCCTTACATAACAAATAGACATTGAAATGGAATCGTGGTTAAAAACGTAGCAGCACTACAGCAGGGAACGTGGACAATGGAGAAAAAAAGAAAGCCAAAATTGAGCCAACAAAATGCCGTCAATATCAGGAGGCGTATGCTTTGATGGGATTCACGTCAACAAACGGCAACCCGCCCCAGGCATTGTGTTTTTTCTGTGGGGAGAAACTATAGGTTACTAGCGTAACCCCAGTTCTCAGAGTAACATGAAGTGAGATGTCTCACTATGGGGTATGCCTCAGAAGCATCAATCTCATTACGCCAATCCTGATTGGCTGGTGATCTTGACGACCACGTCAGGGAATCCACCCACCCTTTAAGTAGCTTGCGCTACGACGGAGCGTCATTCAAAATAAGCACCTCTTCTCGCTTCGCCTCAGCAAGAAGGGCTGTCTGGTGAGACATCTCACTTCATGTTACTCTGAGAACTGGGGTTACGCTAGTAACCTATAGTTCTCATTCATAACACTTCGTTCAATGTCTCACTATGGGATATTGAGACTCCCGTAGTGCTAGACATGAAAATCACCAAAAATCAGTACTCAACAGGTAGAACTCTGTCCCAACACGGGGCCCAGCACTGCATGGGCCACACTTGGAGCAGAGACATCCAATCTGTAAAAACGGACAAAAGTGAGCGGTGAAGACCAGCTTGCTGCCGCACAAATGTCCTGGATGGAAACACCCTTAAACAAAGCCCGTAGCCAGGCCACGAGTAGAATGAGCACGCAGGCCCGTTGGTGCCTGCAAACCCTGACTCGTATAAGCCAGAGCTATCGCTTCCACAATCCAGTGGGAGAGTCGTTGCCTGGTAACGGGCTTGCCCTTATGAGGGTTAGCCCAGGATACAAAGAGTTGGTCACTGCATGAGACTCTTTAGACCTGTCCATGTGCAAGGCACGAACTGGACACAGCAAATTCGGCCGCTGTTCTTCAGAAGAACCTAACGGTGAAGAAAATGCCACAAGGTCAATGGGGGTGCATGAGCCAACCACCTTGGGCACAAAAGCAGGGTTAGGCTTCAGCAACACTCTTGCTTGCCCCGGGGCAAACTGAATGCATGAAGGATGTACAGAGAGCGCATGAATGTCGCTGACTCGCTTGGCGGATGCCAGAGCCAGCAACAACACTGTCTTCAGTGACAGGTGTTTCATGTCAACTTCTTCCAGGGGTTCAAATGGAGGTCGAGTGAGCCCATCTAAAACCACTGCCAAGTCCCATAAGGGAGCCTGCGAGCCCCTTTCATAAAACGGCAGACCAAGGGATGTTGGCTAGCCGTCTTTCCCTCAAAACCCACATGGCATGCAGCAATAGCAGCCAGGTACACTTTAATCGTAGAGAAAGCTCTGTGTTTATCAATCTAGTCCTGCAGAAATGACAAAATCACACCGACAGGACATTGAAAAGAGACGTGTCCCTTTTGGAGGCACTACTCCTCAAACACCCTCCACTTACAGTCATAAAGAGACCTGGTGGAGGAAGCCCTTGCACTCTGAATAGTGTTTATCACCTTCTGAGGAAGCCCCACTGTACTCAAATTATACCACTCACGGCCAGGCCCATAGTGCCAAGCGTTCCGGTTGTGGGTGAAAAATCGCCCCCCCCCGCCTGAGACAGTATGTCGGCTTCCCGCACAGCAGCTGATATATCTCCGCCAGCCAATACATTGCCGGCCAGTGCGGAGCTATCAGGATCAGCGTGTGGCGATGCTCTCTCACTCTGGCCAGAGTCGGAGGTATTAGAGCCAGGGGCGTCCACGCCTAACGGTGCGTCTAGACAGCGCATTGAAAAGAACAGCTGACACTGAGCATTTTCTTCTGACGCGAACAGATCCACCGCGGCTCGGCCGTAACGTATCCACAACTGACTCACAATTATTGGATGCAGAGTCCAATCTGCATATAGTGGTGCACCTCTGGACAACAGATCCGCTCCGAGGTTCATCACCCCCGGTACGTGCGTTGCTCTCAGAGAAAGGAGACGGCCGCAGCTCCATAGTATCAGCTTGCGTGCCA